GAACAGTCCATTTATGAATTTAACCTAAAATATCTTTAATCCTTAAAAATTTAATGATTTTTTGAATTAATAAAATCACAATCCACAACTTATTATCATTGTGCAAGTCATATATTTGAATTACGCAGCGTTTTGAACTTAGTGATTCTTAGTGAAAGAACGAAGCACGTCACCATGGTTACCACTACCTCGCGTGCGCCAAGGACCCAACTCCCACCAAAAAGGCACCAACTTTGTTGATGAGTTAAATTTCTTTTAGGCGATCGACAAATTCCAAAGTGTAGTACATGGTCAAACAATGATTATGCAATAAGTACAGATTCTTTAATCAAAAAACCTTTTTCTTGGGGGGAATTAAAATTGTTTGCTTTGTTTTCAAGATAAAAAAGGAAACAACTTAATAATAGGTCAATAACAGTTAATTCTTTTTTATCAAAAGGAATCATTTTATTTGTATCAGTAGCAAATCAACAACATTTTGTCAATAATCATGTATACGGCTTTCAAAAATTTGCATTGGCATGAGCGAAAATCAATCAAATCTAATTTGCTTAATCAATTTCACAACTTAAAATACCTAGCTTTTACCTGTGTAATTAATCAATTTATTTATATTTATATTACTGATTAATTGTATGAGGAAGTAGCTGATCCCATTAAAGAGTGCTCAATACACATAAAGTGTAGAGCTAGTTATATATATGATATCAAAGAGGCACGATTTTGCTGTAACTACTGAGTTACAGCAAAATCTTACCTCTCTGATATCATATATATATTACTGATTAACTAATTAATCTATTGATTGACTCATTATAATTATTTCTATTTTTTTATGGAAGTCATATGACAGATCCTTCTCCATTCTATCTATCTTACTCAAGCATTAGTGTGCTAAGCACATCCATGGATTCGTTCTTTTTCACAGTTTTACTGCTAGGATCATACCATCAGCGAGCGGTAGCATTGCCATATCAACTCGACTATCTTTGTGAATCTTTTGGTTCAATGTATGGATCGCTAATGTTTCAGCATCCATGTCTGCAGGATCTTGAAGAACCTTACCACTCCAAATTACCTGAAATTGTAACAAAACACCAGTAATATCATATTTTTGTCAATAGACATCCTTCCGCTCACTTCCCCCCTTGCATCACCACAACACAAGGTTATAGTCAACATTCAAATTAGATCGTGCACATGAGCGCTTCATGTCTGGACGAGGATTTGGTTAGGTATGACATGTTTAACCAATGCAATGTATTAAATACGATTGCGTTGTGCAACGTTTTCAAACAATACTTAGAAAATAATGAAACTTTTTTAGCATATTGCACCTTTTAGGCGTTTTTTGTCCACAAAAATAGGCCTTCTCTGATTGCGCTTCTGTCGTCCCCTGTGTATGTTATATATATATATATATGTCCCAACGGCACTTGTCCCGTTTGGATGTCCTGATGGATGCCATGTTAAAAGGTAATGTCCTGATTGATCTAAACTTTTAGGTGTTTAAGTAATGGTCCGAGTAAGAAGCAGGCAAGCAAAATGGCAATGGAATGCATGAAGGTGCACTAAAAGTGTATTGTATAATCCATCCATCTCATTGGTTAAAACATTAAAATCTGACATAATTTCAAAAGTAATCGCATTTTTTAATATTTTATTCAATATCTGATTCTAACTTCATAAAAGCTTTMCTAGCAATTCTATGTGGGGAACATAGCAAATTACAAGCATCTTTTGGCTATTGTTTTGAGTACTATTGATTGGACAAGTTGTTTTAATCAAAACAGAGTTTATCCACATTTCATTTTAAAAATGTGTTACCCATAGGTTGATATATAATCAGTGTGAAGACCAAGACATTCGTACGTGGGGAAGTTGCAATTGCCGCAGAACAATAGAAGGTTGCCTGCTTTTTGCGCGCATTGTTGCTTAAATTACCAATTATATTTGACTGAGGTTAGGAGGCTGTACGATGCCTAGCTACCCTCGTTGCAATTAGTTTTAAGTAGATCTGTAGTTATTTCATATATTTAACTAAAACTACGCCAAACATATCCCCGTTCTTGTGAGTAAATCACATTGTTACATTTTTGACAACTTTCGGGCGCTGTTTAAGTTTCTCGTTCCCAGTCCATTACTGAGAAGGCTTGACTCCACGTAATATATAAATATGAGCGGGAGACCTTTATGGTCAGTTATAAAGCCCATTAAGATCGGACGCTAATATTATGTATTGCTTATCAAATTCACACATAAGCTAAAACATATTTTGCCAAAAAAAATTCAAGAGAAAATTTCATTTTTAAGAAAAAATCGAAGTCGTATGCAATAGGCCATTTGCATTATGGCGTAACTTTACTACAACTACCAGAAAGCCTTGCGCATTTTCTTTGTTATTCAGATTTTAAATCCACTTAGCGATTAGTAAAACAATTGACACTAATTGCATTACAAAAGAAAGTGGGCAAAACATTCTGGTAGTTGTAGTAAATGACGCCATAATGCAAATCGCCTATTCAGGGCAAATATCTTGCTGATATAGAGATTCGGTCACGGCAATGACTTTCCATGTGTTTACCTTATGAATTATTAATAAATTTGAAAACAAAGATGCTTACATTATCAACAGCAATCATGCCTCCTTTTCGTACCAACACTAAGCACTTCTCATAGTATGCATCATAGCTTTCTTTATCAGCGTCGACAAAAGCAAAGTCAAACGTTCCTGCTTCTCCATTGGCAATCAGTTCATCTGTAAGAAAAACTCCACAGTCTAGATACTGTTCTTTTGCCATGAGCATAAATGTAAATAAATTTTATTTTTTATTTTTTATTTTATTTTTCAGGGCTTCGGGAGGAAGGAGAGAAAATGTCTAAATGAAGACAAATGGAAAAGTAGAATTGACCATCCATAGATGTTTATCTCTTTTTACTCCCATCATACATTGTTGCACAAAAAGCTTTCGTCGTTGCACTTGTGTCATACCATCATCATTATCGTGTTGTCCCACACGACCACGTTGCAGCCCCGGGGCAATCTTTCATGCCGCCTACGTACTCAATGATTACGTACATAATTTCATTCGTTGTTATGACTTTGACATGTTGCTTACAGGCTCTAGCTATAAGAGCTATAATATGCTTATATTGGATTTTTGTTCTTAAAAATTGGATGTATGTAGATTTTTCAAACGGACATAAAAAAAAACACAAAAAATATGGTTTCAAATG